TGTTAAACTCTTGAGAGAGAGAGAGGGCGGGAGAGAAGGGGAGGAAGGGAACGCGCTCATCGCCGGACGTGACACACACGCACATGCATGCACACACACACACACATGCACACATTCAATAAGTGAGCGATCCTCCAAGGAACGATAAGTGCCTCCTCCTGAAAAGGCTGGACTGGGTAGTCAGCCGACATTGTTTGAACACTGCAGTTGTGTCTAGGCCTTAAATTGATATATCTCAATCCCACGTGATCCTTGGGATCTCACTCTGAGTTGAGAAATGATCAGTGGTTCCCTGCGGGCAGTTGGAGCTGTTTGGCCTTTAATCGGTTCAATCAAGACACTGTGAAGTTGCACAAGACGTTGACGAACGAGATTGAACTGAACAGTCGAAATTCTTACTCGATGGGACAAATAACTGAGTAAACAAAAAAGAACTATCCTTATCCTAACGTGGGACACTGTACGATAGATAAAGACGCACATTTCGTGTACCAGGCAAGGGGAATTTAGGAACGGCTTCTTGGAAGAAATTGAAAAAGAACTTCAGAAAGGATGTCGAGTGCAGATGGTTAAAGGCCTGTTGATACCAGAGAAAATAAGTCAATCAAGTGAAATCACGATTCATTGTCACAGTCTACTGTCGTGTGTGTGTGATTGACTGATATCAGTATTGATATCAATAACCACCAAAGCAAGTTCCTGTGATCAGGACTACAAATGACGTGTGCAGCAATTGAACATAAATGGTTTTATTATGTTGGGAGTTAGGTAGGAAAAATGACTTCCAACATTACTTACTACCACCACCATCCATGAGAATGCAATCATTGCCAAGTAACGGAGCTTGACAGAATGTGTACAACTTACGTGTTACGGTGTATCTGAGTAGTCTGGTTTATTAGTAGATCCTTATCTGGGTACCGAAGCTTTAGAGAAAACCAACGAAATAAATTGTGTATATCTTGGGGAGTTTCTTTGTGCTCTAAGTCACAGGAGTTATAAAACACCTGGGTGTGTTGAACAAGAGCAAAGGTCGGAAGGGCTCAGTTATGAAAAACCAATAACCCATCAATGTCATTTGATTCGAAGAAGTACTGTTGGCGCCTGTTAGAATTGAGTAACACTGACCCAGACCAGAAGAAGACTGTCTAAAGTCGAAGTGATGAGTGAAGTGGTGATGAGTTCAAAGTCCCACTCAGGTCAGTGACAGCATCTAAATCTTCCGGACACAGATTGTAGCCTTAAACAACTTAGTTTTCTTAAGCATGACACTACCAATGTTCTTAATTTAAACTGAAAAATAAAATAAACGGTGATTATAAACGGAGTCGTAGGAGTACAGTAGACCATTAACATTATAAAGGATAATTTTGAGCTACCTCGTCTTCACCATAAGTTGTTTTTCACTAGCATCAGAGAGAATTTGTGTGGTTTCTTTATGTGATTCACAAAGCTGGATTCTGAACTGTCTTTTGAACAACCTGTGACAGATATCAAAGTCCGTAACGCAGTTTTAAATAATGTGTGCATGTGTTTCATCATTTTACCTTCATCAGTAGTGTTATACCGCTATTTGATTCTCACAAATAGTTATATTACGGATAACCGCAATTTAAAATCTGTCCTGGTTTTATGAAAATCGACAATTCGTATATTGAAAGGGAGCCTATTGTGGAACTATCAATTTTCATAGTGAATTTTTTAGAGGACTTCAATACGAAATGACGATAAACGGATTTGAATTCTCGTCTTCAATCTCTTTGCTTCTATCAGTCAATGTGGGACAGTTCAGATTGGACACAGGTGAACTCTCAAGATCACACTGCATGACAATAGGGGTTGTGAGTGCGAAAAAACGCGAGGCAGTTTATACCGATCACCGAAAGGTTTGCTGAGTTTCTGCTGGTAGGATCCTGATACCAATAAAAGGATTTTTGATATGGCTTTAAAAGGCCTGCACGTGCTCGGATTCGTCTCTCAAGGGATTAGAACCGCCGTTTATGCGCTAATCCCTTGGATTCGAATCGTCAAAGTGGGGATCCACTGACCTGTCGTATAATCTTATTATGAACGCCATCATCCACCACCATCACCACCACCACCAGCACCCCTCAAAAATATTATCGTTTCACCTTTTCGTCAAATTGCCACGTTAGGTCAATTTCTGTGATCGCGTAAATCGCCAACACAAATGGAATAGACGAATGCAAGAGGAGGAAACCAAAGAAAGCAGACTGGTCTAATCGGCCTCACGCGGTTCCGAGAGCCCTATTTAGAAGGTTAAAGCCGAATCTCTAGAGAAAACTTCTGATTGCTGGCAAGTAAACTATTTTGCGTCGATGGCTGTTTTACCGAACATTCTAAGTGTTCAATGATAAGACTTTCGGGCGTTAAGAATGTCTACATTACTATTATTCTGTCATTATTGTTTTTTCTCGAGGAGGAGGAGGTGCGTTCGTGTGCAACCAGTTTTTAATTTGTTCATCTGTGGTTTGCATTTGAGAGTTTTTGTCCTTTATTATTTCCTTTTTACAGACTGTCTGATTCACGTAACTATACGTGCCGGTCAAACAAAATATATCAAAGTTCGAATTTGCTTGATTAAGGCACAAAGCACCGCTAATCGTAGGGAAGACTCAAAACTAGCCTTCTTTGGAGCGGCTGTTTATACAAGTACCACTTCTCGAGGCTTGATGGAAAATTTTAACGAGGATTTGGATATATAATAGTTTGTTTGTTCATACTGTAGTTCGTCGCAAGCACAGAAATCAACTTTCATTTTAGGTCAAAAACAAAGTATTTTATCCGATAAAGTTTGTCGTACAGAAGCTTGAGTTGAAAAGATAGAAATAACTGTACAGCTGTTTCTACCTGGTTGGGTCTCATCAGCAATGTGCGAATCCATCGACTCAACTGGGGATCGAACCCGAAGCCTCACAGGTAGAAAACAAGCATATTGCCCACTCAACCACTTAGCAGCGATATAGTGCAACCCATCTTTGCTTACCTAGTTCAGGTATCAGATCCCGCTCATCATACACTAGCCTCCAGGGTTTTGACTCAGCTCACACTTCGTTTACATAACGAATTTCATCATATAACCAAATCAAATCCTCCACTACTGTCATACAACAAATTACTTATTTGCATTTAACTCACAGTTCCTTGAAAGTGTACAGAAAAATTTCCCTTATACATTGAAGTATATATTTATTACCTCAAATACTTCGGGCCGGTTGTGGTTGAGTGTTGAAGTAAACAGAGTTCACTGTCTCAAACTTATCTAGAAATAGCCTTAATGGCCTACATTCACAGCCCTTACTGGGTTCGGCAAAGTTGTATGTTGTCCACCGCGTTTCGAAAGGGCTAGTAGGGGTCATCCACTGAAGAAGCAGCAATGCTCGCGTGTTTGCTGGGAGTTTACCTGGAGAACGCTTTCCACTTAATTCTGTGGACGTGGCGATTATGGCCAGTGCTTCTGTTGTACCCCATCGACCCAAAGCGGTTCTTTGGAAGAACCGATCGAGCCACGCAACAGACGACTGATTCACCTGAAATAACCCTGCTGCCTTGCAGACTATACTATAGTGTGCGAAGGCTGCGTGAGTTGTATTCAGCCCGCCTCCCACAACAGACTGGGTCACCGAATAGTAAAACAACCCCGAAGTGTACTGGAGACACTGCTCCGCATCCCATTCTCACGAAACCCGATAAACAGTATTGGTGGTACCAACTTATCCTCCAATAAAAGATAATGGGGTAAAAGTAAACGTGGGAAATATGCCGATTACTGATTTCTTGTCGTGGGTATATATGAGAAGCCACTTGTTAACCACATCATCTAGTTTCCATGAGCCAAACAATCATTCGAAGCGAGAAACCGAACAGAAATTTAACATCTGTGGTTGGTTTTTTGCAGGAACTAGTGCAACTTTGCTGTCCTGATGAGCCAGTATCGGTTCAAATTCAGTCGGCTTGTACAAATCAATCAGAGGACCATTTGGATCAAGCTGAGTAGCCACGTACATCAGCTTTGAAGCTACTGTAGAATAACTAAACGGATAACGAAAGATCCTTCTTAGATTTTTTCATCGTTGAATCAGGTTTAATATGAATTCTGCATTCTGAATCGCACAGAATTTTCATTCCTTTTACGAGGAGTTTATTGGCACACTAGTTGTAATCACACTGAACAATTTTAGATGCAGGCATTTCACCACTACTTTTCGAACCGGTAGGAAGCAGCTTGGTGTTTATTAACTGCCGAAGCTTGTCACCACAAATATATGTTCCATCCAACATCACAGGTGACATTTTCAATGCAGTATCCCGGTGAATGTCTAATGACCTGTGTAGGTGGGTGAGTGACGAATTCACTACGGAAACGGATGATGGGATGCCGTTTTTAGGTGACGACGAAGAGGTTAAGATCAAACTGAAAAGAACTCAACCACAACATAACGACAATCACCGTCGTTGTGTCAAATATTATTGGGGAAAACTCGTCGGATTATACTTATTAGTAATATTATCATTACAGAGAAACAAATGATGGGCAAGATAGACCGGGATTCGATTTGAGCAGTCATCCACCTAACACTTCGTTGCAATCTTTCCGCTACCCATTAAACAGACCAGTGAACAAGTAAAATTCTGATAGCCTTATCTTAAAACGGTTACCGATGGCAGATAAACTAGAGATGGGAGCAGAAATCAATTAAATGCTAAAGTGCCACTGCTTAGAAATTCACCCTGTCTTTGGTTATTGATCGCAAATGTGTGAACAAGTATTTGCCATCGAGTAGATGCGGCTGTTGCCCCTCCGGGAGAATGACTCATTTAGGATAGGGCTAATGACGCTCACCTCATCTATCACATGAAACTGCGATAAACCAGGTGTTAGAAAATCGACTATAAGCATTGAAATTTTTAATGAATAGATCAAAAACCAAACAAAATGTACAACAGAATGCACAATGTATGTCGTGTATATGTGCACTTTATATGTGTCTGTTGGTCTGTGAGGGTATGATGACTGCAGCAGTGTCAGGATTGTCATTGAAAAATGGCCATAGTTGTGTAGCTCGATCTGAACTGACTGAGAGACTGGGGGAAGGAATGTGTAGTTGTAATTTTTGATGTCACTGGTGTGAATAGGGGAATAGAGACTGTAAACCAGAATATAGAACATATAAAATCGATTGTGAAACCAGAGGAAATTAGATGTGTTCACTGTTTGATGAAACACAAACAGAGATTAGATCTTTGTGAGGACAGCGCAACCCATTGATGTTTCCATTCCGGTACCCATTGTGCCTGAAGTAGTTGAAGAAAGATCCGTTGAGTAACCAGACTCCAAATCCCGATATTCTTTACATGACTGGAAATCGAGTTTATCTTTAACCATGTGTAACTCGTGTGGTCGTCGACTTTCACGATAAACAGGATTCATTTCAGACTCGATCGTGGTACTGCTGGAACCTAGACGATCTTCCGAGGTAGGATTTTCACTGGACGAGTGAATGGTAGGGCTTGACAAATAGCCCGTTGCACTGGGCAACATTGTGTTCAAAGAAGCCAGGGCTTGATGCGTGAGTGACAGTGTTGATACGGGTTTGTTCACGTCGGAAGTGTCATTGGAAAGATGATGGGATGTTGGAGTTCCCTTTCTGGGGTCCACGCCTAGCAGCAACCGATCACCACGGGATTCCATATGTTCAAATATGGACGAGCGTGATCTGTCCAGGGGTGAGTGGAGCATGGGTGAATAGGATGCATTTTGCACTCCGTAGCTTGAATAATACGGATGTGTCCCGAATGTGCAACTTGGGAACTGATAAGGACCTGGAATTAGCGCCGGATCGGACAGGGATACATTCGATTGCGTTTCTTCTTCAGTGGATAGGTGGAAACCTCGATGTTTGGCCAGTTGGATAGTGGCTGCCTCGAAATTACTCGAAGTTTGATTGAGGAAGTTAGATCTTGATTCTGTTAGGCAACTGCTGCCGGGATTCGCAGAATCTGCATAGCGTAAAAAATTGAATCCACCATCGGGATGTGCTCCGGGAGACCGGGTAGAAATTTGATCATTAATTAAATCCTTACGTCCCATCGAGCCACAGGGATGATGTAAACCGGATATGTGATCAGAAGTGGACGAAGCGGAAACCGCATTCCCGTTGTAACTGACACAGCCTTTGGTGTTTTGTGTCTTTACGTCTGATCCACTTGGCCCAGAGTGAATACCGATTCGTTCTTCCTGAGAATAATCGTTTAACGATGATGATTCGGAACAGTTCGACACATCCGGACTAAGACCAGGTCCAGATAGGCCGCAAATCATATTGCCCACGGAACCCGCTCGGGTATCACTACGCTCTGGTTTGTGCGTGCCATACAAGCCAGAAACCGAAGTTGTCATATGCGGTGATATGGATGGCGAGCGTTGTTGCTGGTGGTGTTGTTGTGACTGCTGGTCAATCGGTAGCTGTGAACGATTGAGCACGGTTGAACGCAAATCCACACCAGATGAATTTGAGTGATCGGTCAGTGATGCCGATTCTTTATCTTTTTGAGCCCGTTTGCATTTATATCGGTGATTTTGGAACCAAATTTTCACCTGATATAATGGGAACAGAGAGATTGGGAAGAGAGATAGAGATGTCAATCAACTTGTTTATTTGCTTTTATCACAGTATATCATGAACTTAACTTTACACGTGTTACCGTTCGGATCGCCCAGGAAAGACAATTGATCAGGAAGTACTAACTGACTGACACCACCTTGACAGGATATATAATCAAAAAATGTTTTGTAAAGAGTCGGCCACTACTTTTTGTCAGCACATGTGAATACTAGAAACATGGCTATCAACCGCACTGCTCATTTCAATAGTAAATGATCTCAGTACTATCGGACGTGAACGTAGCGGAGGATTTGATTATATTACTTAGTGGATTTCGTTATGCAAACGAAGCGTTGTACCTTTGCAGTCCCGGATTTGATCCCCGGTTGGATCGATGGATTCGCACTGACTCAATCGGATCGAAATATCTGTACAATACTTCCTAACTATTCGACGTGTCTGACATGATGTTCATAGGGATATCATTAGGATGATTCCCATGCATGTCCTTCTGGATTCAACTGACACGGTCTGTTTAGTGCTATTGATGTTGATGTGTTACAGTCAATATTGCTGGATCACTTCCGTCTCTGAGTTGTGAACATCATCCGGCTCAGTACCATAGTTATTCTACTGGGGCCTACCGATTCCGTAGGCGAACAATCGGTCCTGGTGACTCGGGTATTCTTCTCTTCTACCGTACATAACACCAAGATGTGTAACACAGTAAATGAGGTAATCTTATTTTTTCTTTCCGGTAAAAGTAATTCCGTGGCTATGAGTTATCAGAATTGATATTGATAATTTCATAGATTTATCAACGTAAAATACGATATATTAGATTTTACACTATTATGGGATATCGAATGCAAATTGCACTCTAACTCGACCGTGTTCTGCGACTACCATCTGACAACACGAACACACAATTATGCAAATAATCCCTACCAAATGGCTTTACCTGTGTTGGTGTTAGATTGATAATCTGTGAAAGATGCTCCCTTTCGGGGGCCGAGAGATACTTTTGTTGCTTGAATCGTCTTTCCAATTCGTACACTTGAGCCTGTGTGAATAATACTCTACGTTTTCGACGTTGTGATAGGCCGCGAAACGATGCCGTGTGCGCATGCGGATTGTGAAGTTGATGTAGTGTGTGTTGCAGTGAATGAAACTGAGATGCCCCACTGATCGGACTTCCTGAGCGGTGTGAGCCAGACTGAGAAGTCTGGGGCAGTTGTTGTTGTTGTTGCTGCTGCTGTTGTTGGATGCTGGTGGCTGCAACAGCAGCCGCAGCTGCAGCTACTGCTACCGCCTTCTGATGTTTCTCATAAGCTAACATAGCCGCGGCGTTGTAAGATGTCCCATGCAAACCAAGCGCAGCAGATGCCGCCATACATTCCGAGGTTTCCGGTCGACGACTGCTTGTGAATGAGTGAAACGGGTGGGGTTGAACAGTAGCAAGTGGCGACGAAGCTGGACCGGATTGACTAGCGACATAACGATTCCGAGAAATCCTTCCGCTTCCCGGTCGTGGACTACCACTGGGTTGACTGGACGTCACTGGACTGCCAAAAGAGCCAAATTGAGTGCCACTGAATTCAGAACTGGTTATTCCCGAGGCAGTGCTGTTTCCAACAGCTGTGGTACAATTTCCACCGGTTAGACCGTAAGGATTGATGTAGTTCAGGGAAGAGTTGTTTGTATTGAATCCGGAATTGGTTGTTGGACTGAGATGACCAGGATAAGCACTCACCATTGCTGCGTTTGTCGCTCCCATAAGACGGGAAACTAGAATCAGAAAGTTACGTAGGATAACGAGCTGAATTTGGAAAAAAGACATGCATTCGAATTATTCACTGAAGACATGTTAAAGATAGCATTTTTTTAGTCATTCCCACAAGTTGTTGTTACTATGACATCAGCCTGGACACTTATTCCTTTCAAGAGCAACCAAGGCAACGAAAATCTGTTCTTTTTCTAAATTGTTTTGGTCCGCAGATTTTCATGCTCCCTGAAGCTAACCGCCACAGAGGTCAAATGAGTGCCGTTTGCCCGTCAGTTTTTTTTCTGTGCAAATGGTTTTCTGTCTCCAGACGGTCATCGACAATTACTCGGGCTCTCCTCAACGGTGATGCTGGTGGGGATCGGTCTCACCCAGTCATCTAACTTTGAGTAACATGATGTCACACCCTAGATGGATAATTGCCGCCACGTGGCATTAGAAAAGTTAAGCTCATACGATGATGTAATCTCAACCACGTGCTTCGCACAGTTAACGATGAAGTGGGGTGACGGGGGTGGGATGGGGGGTGAAACTAACTCGAACGTTGTTCGTTCCCAGTCAGTTATGTTAGTATTACCACTTGAGCGGTATAATTGATCTAATTGCTTTGGAAGCAATTTTATTAGACGATTTATGTGGGTTAAATTTGTGAAAATGAAATTACGGGGAAGGGGATTGGAAAAAGAATAATTATGTAGATTTTATTTGATCGAAGAGGACTCGTCAACATCGGGTTGACTGAAAGCCCGTTTCGGTTAAACTTTTGGAAATGACTTTGCACATTGACTGGTTGATGAATTCAATAGATCTAGCCTCATATTCAACCGCCATGTTAGTACTGAAACAAGTTGCGACATGTTTCTTCCGGGAAGAACTACACTCAATCAAATGAAAATATCAATCAATCAGTGATTCCGATTGATATTGTATGGCATAAAATCAATTGGTGATATGAAAACTATGTGATTGGCGTTATCTTTGGTTGGGGCCACCTAGCAGGTCTTAGTTGATTTCACTTTTCATGAAATTCTCAGGGGGTTCAATTAGAGGCCAGCTAAGTCTGTTTTAGAAGGCATATTCGCATATTAATCACGAAGGAAATTGATTTGGACACACACACAGAGGATCAAAATCCTAATGATCCGCGAGAAGTGAGTGCAATTGGTGAGGGAAAATCAGCTGGAATTTCAAAAGATCATGGAACATGCTGTTTGGTATCAATGATTAGGATTAATTAGCACCCCCACGTGCGTCTACATGCCAGTTGATCTTGCTGATAAGTTTGCCAGTCAATCAATGAACACCATGAGTACAATGCTGTATCCGGTGGTATGCGGTTAATGTAAGAACGAACTGAGAGAGCTTGAAGCCAGAATGGTTGGTTTTTGTTTAGTGGCTAATAATTCACATGAATGTGCTTCCTAGTTCATCATTTTACCCGATGTAAATCACAACTTACGGGGGTTAGAGGTGCGATAGTTCTGTGAATACCTCGGAAATCCGGACTGTTCTGTGTATTAAACAGACCGATACCAAACTGAGGTTATTTGATAGAGCCTTTGAAAGTGTTTCGCGGGTGGGCATATTACTCTAATTTCGTAATATAACTATAGCTCCAACGGCTTCAACAACACCGAGTGCTGTTTTCCGCTTAGAAGTTATCAGGACCGCTCAAACAAATTATTACCACAGTGGTGGAATCATGCGAAGTGGGCAATCAGACAACCCTTTGATCGACTGGAAAATTTGTCATTTATTTCAGAACCTCCATTAGTCAAACAAATCTGAATCGGCATTCGGTTGGTTGTTCAAGCAATAATTACGGCATGATTGAGGAGTACACCTGATTAGAAGGAATCATATATACATGCATATTTATGTGTCTATTCTAGATTATGATGGGAACATTATTATTTATTTCTATAATAGAAAATATTGTTGTGATTAGCTGGCCTTCAATATTGTGCCAGTAGTTTCAGTAAAAAGTGTTCGTTATTTCTAATCCTTGTGCGTAATGAAAAGAACTTTGTCTTATTGAAGTAGTTTAAATTGCAATTGTGGTAATTCACGGGTTTTGAGTTAAGCACTAAAACATGCGTAGCGCTTGACAAGCTGTTGAATGACTTTTTTAAATCGGTTTCGGCTCATCTGAGTAAATAAAATTCGGTCACTAATGCCAATAGGGAGAGACTAGGATTAACGGGACACTGTTCAAACCTTGACGAACGTATACCCTTTTTCACAGTGATAACATGCAAGGGAATTAGAAGCTATTCGAATGGGATTGGGGAACTGACCTAGCTCCACCCCACCTCACCCCACCCCCCTCTTACTTTCTATCTTGTTCTTGTTCTGCACGATCCCCACATTCTCCAGTGGCTTTTCAATTTCTCACTGACTATTTCTGCAGAGTATGATCCGTGTGGGATATTTTGTTCGCTGGTTTTGTTTCAATTAATCACCCTCTCTCGCGCGTTCGCAGAATAGCTTCAAAGTAGACACTGTATGGTTGTGTTCAGATGCGGGTAGATGGACAGCATCGATTTCACCGTCACGGACAAGTATACTGACATTCGATCGAATAGCATCACTCTCAGTGTGGTTCCCTCCCTGAATCGTAGTGGGATAGTATATCAAAAATGATCAGGTGGCTGTTCATGAGTACCTTTGACTCACATTCACATGTAAGCACTGCTATGAATGCAGAAGTGAGCCATTGGCCGAGGAGAACTGAGCTGGACTGGATAGGATGTGATACTTTTCACACGTTGCTGCAGTTTTCAACGTCCATAGGTTCTCGATCAATTGTTTTGCCCATTGAAAAGCATGTTTATGAGCGTGTGAATGCCTAAATGTGTCAACACAATGACAGAATGACGTGATGGAAATATAGTCACCTCCTATATATATTAACAATTAGTTGCTAATGCCTTATTACTGCATTTGTTATTAGCAAACGAGAACAGAATGAGAATTTATTCTCTCTTTTATTATACTTAATAATCAGGAAACTTCACCACTTTATTTTCAATGATTAGCGTACAGTTTTGTCGACTGTACTAAGCGACGAAAAGTCCGTTCACTTCCGTTAATTGAATCTAAAGATTTTATTCTTTCATAATGGGTGCAACTGGGTATAAATATACCAAATTGAACCCCACACAGACCACCGAGTTCTTATATGGTGAATTCCATTGTACACCGAGAGAATGAATCGTGAAGTGAAAAGCTAGGACGCACATTGTGCAGCTGCTTCGATCGTTTAGCTCAGGGTTTCCGGGCTTTTCAGTTCACGCCTCCTTTGTTCTGTACAAGACAAAATCCACCAATCTAGCATTCAGTGATTATTGCCACAGCATTAATAGAATCCAGTCAGTGCCGTTACAAATCGAGTAAGCTATCCCACTGATAAAAACTGTTCATTTGTTCGCATACTATCCGCTGAGGATTACGCAATTTCCATCCACCGGATTGAATTTAACGAAGAAGTTTTCCAGGGTAAAGTCCACACGAAGTGCAGCAAGCAAATAATCGAACTCGTAGAGAAGATTTTCTCAAATGTACAGTCTGCACCCGATTTGTCCCACTCAGAAAGGGAGTGTACAAATAACTTTCTGGGTATCCCGCGGTGATAACTTTGTTCTTAATTATTTGCTTTTGGTGGAACGGGTTTAGGCTGGATGTTCGAACTAACTAGATTCGTATTCGTGACCGATGCCCTACCGACAGAGTTTGATGAATTATTGGCGGTATACTTCTGTCTTCAACAACACAAAATTATTCAAAATACATTTAACAAACCAGCAGAATCAAAAGGATGTGATGCGTTGCTGATGGCTAGCAAAACCCTATCAGGCAGTAACAGACAGGCAATTGGAAGAGATGCATTTGGCCTCTAAGGCCCATAACATGCCGCAGTAAATATTACCTTTTGAAGGGAAGTCACAAGGACGGTTGGTTTTTAAGCGAATTTAAGCCATATATAAACAGTAGCGCACTTGGTCAGAAAATACTTCACCAAGCGTTTGAATCCTCTTGTTAGCTATTCCAAAGAAACTGTTCTTTTCTTATAGAATTATAAGAGAAAAATGAAGAAAACCACCATGGTCTATTGCCTTCTACATCTCACGAGTTTAGATGACCATGCTATGAGAGTTTTAAAACTTGATTGCATCGAAACTTATTTCGATTGAGAATATTTCAAAAACGCTTCCGCTACATATTACAAAATGGTACAAAAGCGTTCTGATGATAGATCTACTGCGGAAACATTTACATTATTGCACACACCCAACTTACCATATTCATTATATTCGCTAGTCAGACGAGGATCATTCGCCGCGGCAGCAGCCGCAGCACCATACCACGAGGAGGCTGCTGAAGCCACAGCAGCCGATGTAAGTTGTGCCGGATCCAAATTATTATGGACTGTCGGATCCGTGTTGTTCGTATGCATGCCGAAATTCAGTCCACCAGAGCCAATCGAACTGCCTCCAGCTGCTGCATTGGTCATCACTGCAACCGGATCGTCTAGTGGAGAAGAACTGGGCCAAAACAAAGCTCCCATCCGGCTCCCATAACCGGCAGACATTTGCGAAAGGAAGTGGTGACCATCTGATTGATTGCCGGTTACATCAGTGTGAGTTTCTGTTGTGAGTTTCAGTACACCACGTGCTCCAGACCCATCGGGAACAGAAAAGCTGTGTGCTCTAAAATCAGGGTAAAAAACATCGTTATCATTGATCAGGAAGATAAATATCCATGTTGAGGGAGAGTAAATAAGATAGATGGATATGAATGATGATAGTTATGCGGCTTTAGATGCTACCATTGGTATGCTTTGAACCATTAGGAGATCAAAGCTCGAACCCTCTCATGGTCATCCACTTCGATGGTATAGCTCAATACCCTTTGTGTCCTATTGAGGCTTTATGCGGTGCATTACCCAAGATTTAATGGATGAACAGCAGATACTCATGACCGTTCCTCCCACAGTGGTACACAATAAAGGACCAAGTGTTGACATAAATTCTGTTGCTACCATTTCAACTTGCACTAGTTCTGTTGCTGTTTCCGTTGCAACGAACTTTGAGTGTCCAGTCATCATAAATTAACTCGAATGAAAAATGAAATTAATCCGATATTGGACTCACCCCATTAATAAAACAATATCTGAAAGTACGAATTTTCACCAGTCCTCTCATCTTACGACTTAATGTGTTTCAGAATGCCTATTCCGAGGAGATCAGTGTCATGTAAACAGTTCCATTGGAAAACCAATTGAATTGACTATTGGAAGGGGCGGAGGGTTGATAAAGGACGACTGCAACAACTTTTAGTATGCACTTTTATAGGCAAAGAAAATATCACACTCTTGATACCAGAGGACATTTAGACTCAGATGATGTATTTTTCCTTCTATACAACGAGCATATATCACAAAACTTTTGATGTAATATCACTAATGATGAGGCATCCAATGGGGAAAATGAACCACATGTTCAAAACTGATTATCGACATCGCGCATCCATGATATGTAGGACACAAATATGGTACTTCCCCCCTTTATCCGTGACTAATCAGCTTGTCTCGTTTTGTCCGAGTCTGGTCTTGTGTTATACGATGATGTGCAATAAAACGAGTGAACCGCTATGATCAGAAGGTACTAATGCCTGATTGTGGGAAGGAATAATTTAGTTCCCCGGGCTGGGAGCAGTGAACTGAACGAAGCACCAAACGGCTAGGTAGGCAAACGAGTAAGATGACAGTAAAGCTAGGCATCA